TACACAATCTATTTTCACAAAAAGAAAATATTTTTAATTATCTACGATATTATTCAAAATATATAATAATTATATTTAATCATATATATATATGTATATAACAGGATATTTATCTAGTAAATGACAGAAAAATAAACAGGCTAAACTGACAAACTCAGACTATCTCTTTCGTTTTTTTTTTCCAAAAAAAGAAAATATTACAATCTCACTGCAACTTCTAGTAGTCGCATCAAGAGGTTTATATCATATTAAATCAATTTTTTATTAGCATCAACTCTCAACTTCTCTTTAATTTAATACGAATTACCAAATCAATTCTTTATCATCATTGAGAATTCTTCTCTAACTTTTAAAAATGCAAAATTTTATGTCAAACCCCTGCATATAATCTGGGAAGTCTCCTCTTACTCTCTCTCTTTCTTAGTTTCTCTCTCTGCCTGACCTTCCATCTTTCTGGATCTGGGTTTTTCAGCCGAGCTTCATTTACAAAAAGCTGTAAGCACTCACATTTATGAATACCCATTTGCCTGCCTGGTTAGTAGAATTCTTTTTGTCGAATCTTTTGTGTGGTTAATTGATTTTGGTTGGTTCAGAGACTATTATGGATGGGTTACATCAGGTTTTGATTAAGAAAGTTGCTTGTTTGAGTTAGATGCAGATGTAAGTTATCTTTCTTGGATTCTCATTTTAAGCTTTAAACTTTACTTGTGTTAAATTTTAGTTGCATTTAGTTTAATTTCTTTTTTAGTTTATCGTTAGTTTCTACTCCTAATTTGAGTATAGACAACTGGGTTATTCATATTTCATAGTGGGAACTCAATTTATATATTTTAAGGTGGAATAACCTCATAGACAATTATAAGTATTACAAGAGAATTAAAATTATGAATTGAATGTAAACTGAATGGAAACTGAAACAAACTTTATATTAAACTCATGAACTGTGGTTTGTGCTGGTGCTTGTCTTAATTTGGGTGGGAAAAAGTTGGATTCTGTATTTTTTGTATGGGAATTTGATAAGGGTTCTGTTTCTGTTTTGATTTGTGACAGTGAAGGAATTCACATGTTTGTCTCTGCTACATGAAAATCTGTAAGTATTTGAGTTTTGATTGATATTTTTTGGAAATTTGAAGACCAAGTATTATTCCCAGATCAGTTTTCTTCAGTGAAGATCCTCCACAGTTTTCCTGATGTGGGTTTTTGAAATCTAATGATTTGCTGGTCTATTACATAGTTGTATAGTTGCTATACTAGCTTCATGGCTAGTGGTGATGTAAGGAACCCCTTGCTTTCTGGGTTAGTAGACCCTGTACCTCAATTGAATAGTGCATCCACCCCAAGGAGAAGGAGATTTCGCCGTGTTAAAAGTGCTCCTTTAATTGATTTGGGTTCTCCTGATGTAATTGGTGAACGTTCACTTCAACGATCAGAATCCATTTTTCAGAATCTTCATCCGAGTTTCAGAAAGGTTGCCTTGTACCTGGTTGTCTACTTAGGTTTAAGCACAATATGCTTCTACCTTGTTAGGGATCAAATTTCAGGGAAGAAAACCAATGGATTTCTTGACTCTTTATATTTATGCATCGTGACCATGACTACTGTTGGCTATGGAGATCTTGTACCTAAAAGTGATGCCACAAAATTATTTGCCTGTGCATTTGTGTTCACTGGAATGGCTCTTGTTGGGCATATTCTGACAAAAGCTGCAGATTATTTGGTTGAGAAGCAAGAAATCTTGCTGGTTAGAGCTTTACATATGCGTCAAAAAGTCAGTCCAACTGACATTCTGAATGAGATTGAAACACACAGGGCGAAATATAAATGTCTCACTGCCTTTATTCTTCTTATAGTGCTCATCTTTATCGGTACAATCTTTCTTGTTAAAGTTGAAAAACTGGACATTGTTGATGCATTTTACTGTGTTTGTTCCACAATTACTACATTGGGATATGGAGATGAAAGCTTCAAGACTGCAGCAGGGCGGATCTTTGCCGTGTTTTGGATATTGACAAGTACTATTTGTTTAGCTCAGTTTTTCCTTTATGCTGCTGAGCTAAACACAGAGAACAGGCAGAAGGCACTTGTGAAGTGGGTGCTCAATAAGAGGATAACGAAGTTAGATCTGGAGGCAGCTGATCTGGATGATGATGGCGTTGTGGGGTAAGCTAATCGTTTACAATTTTTGAGCAAGATTCCACATTGTGATATTTTGTTTTCCGTTTTGCTTTAACTCTTCTCTTACTCTCTGTTCTTTGCTTGTCAATAGGGCTGCTGAGTTCATATTATACAAGCTCAAAGAGATGGGTAAGATTAGCCAAGAAGACATTTTGCTTGTAATGAAAGAATTCGAGGATCTCGATGTTGATCAGTCAGGCACTTTGTCGAATTGTGACATAATGCTTGCTCAATAATCTAAACGTGACCAAATAATTGTTGAGACCATCCAATTTCTGTGTTTTATCACATGCTTGAGGTTGACCGTTCCTTCATATCACCAGAGTTTGGAGCTTGCTCAAGAGCCTTTTGTTTCTCTTGAACTGCAAAAGCATGGGTGAGATTGATTTAAGGTATTTATCCTTTACAAAATAAAACATCAGTTGTCAATTAATCTTAGATAGCGGCAAGAGAGGATTTACCGGGGACTATTTTGAATATGGCAATAATCTGTCCGTGGACTATTTCACTTACCCGCAAAATAATAGTCCTTCATACCAGCTCTGACAGCATTGCGAGGGTGCAAATTAACAAAATTGTTTTTGCTTATCAATGTAACTTCACAGGGGAATGGAACATACATTTCATTTCATTTTCTGAGCACAACATTCCAATAATACAAATAAACCCTACCGTTTAAGGGGATTAACTACAGATGTATTTATATCCATTGGAGAATCACTATCATGTGTTAATGCCTTGTAATGATTACACTGTATGTGCTGAGAATGTGGGATGCGCTAGAATTACACTCCATCCTGAATCTTTAGTGGTATGTAGACTTCTGACCAGAAGGATGGTGAATGCACAAATAAATTGCCGGTGCCTCCTAATGGTTAGATTTCATTTTTGCTGGAACTATGGCATGAATTACATGTATGCTCTACCCTGAATCTTTGATGTTATGTAGACGTTTGACAAGTAGGATAGAGAATGCCCAGACAACGCTTCAATCTCGAATTTAACTCCTCTTTGCAGCATCTTCTCCAGTTCCAATCTTTAAGTGGAAAACGGAAAGCACATGCATTAGCTTTGTGTCTCTAATTCGTTAAGAAAACTTGTGTTTCATGATTCTTAACAGAATGCTACCTCCAGTTTGGCACTTCTCGGGACAGGTAGCACCGGCACAACATGGCTTCAGTTCTTCTCTTATCTGAGAAGAAATGCAGGGAAGTGCAAGGATCTTGCATATGGCATGAGTAAAGTAACGGAGAGAAAGAAATCCAATTTTTAGCAGATTTTGGTAATAGCAAATCAGTCTCACCTTCTGCAGTTAAACGCCGGAGACACTGCTGAGGAATATCATATTTCTCGGAATCTGAAGGGAACATTCCCAGCCAGTGAATCTCTGGGACTCGTAGGAATTTTGTATCATATGCCATTTGCTTACAATTAGAGAAGAAAAAGATGAAAAAGAATGAAGTGATAAATAGTCGGGTATTGCAGCCTTGCAGTTAGTCCAATGCCATTCCATGTACTGATTGGATGATTTTACGGCAGAAAACAAAATCAATACATTTGAAAAAAAAAAGGAAGAAAGGAAAAGAACCGTGAAATCTAACCATGGAACCAAACCGGTATGTGGTCAGGATGTCAAAGCCATATGGATCACAATCTACCAGGCAATAGACAGGCAGATGCAACTTCTCGACAAGGAGTCGCAGAAACCTAATAGATTAATGTTAATCTTCATTCACGGATGTGAATAAAAAGAACTCTATGTGCAGAGAACCTGGAGTTTCTACCTTCTTGTGGGAATGTCAGGATAGCCTTTTCCCTAGAAAATTTGATGGCAAAAAAAAAATTCAGAAGGTAAAGGATGAATATAAGAAGAGAATATTCATAAATGATGTGCTTACTGTGATGACAATGCAGCGGTTTTCCTTGCAGAACTGATCGTTTGCTAAACGGTGAAATACTGCATACAATAAAACAATTGTTTTTTTTTTTTTGTGTATATTAACTCTGATCTTTTGTTGGACTAGTTCGATTAAGCCACAACAATTGCTAATAAGAAGCAATACCTGACTCTTTTTCAACAATTAGTATGTACTGCCCAACACTAACAATATCTGTTTATAAGAATTAAGCACAACATTGATCCGAATATTCTGACTAGCTTTTCTTTCTCATGACATGATACATAATCAGGATTAACACTGTGTTCCTGTAACTTTCTTGCAGAAGTATATGAGCCTATGATTTTTGAGTAAGAAATTAATTCAAAAACCAAAAATCTTCTGTAATTGACAAATCGTAAAGGTATGTTTTCCTTAAGAAAGTTAACCTTAAATAGTGGGACCATTTTGAATTTTGATTTTTTCTTTCAAACGGGTGATAACAGGAATTCAGAAAGTAAATAAACATACGAATATGAGAAAAGGTATATCTTCGTCTTGTTAATTTGTTGCACTTTGACACTTGGGATACCTTTAACTTCCTCAACAAGCACAGGAATGGGATGATCCTGCAAGTGACAAATTGAAATTATACATCATAGGCAGCATGGATGTTTCCATCTTTTTAATGTTTAACTTTTCTATTCTTACAGCGTTGGGGCTCTTTATGCAGTCAACTTTCCTTCCAGCTTCCATAAATCTTAACCAGCCCATCACCAGCCTTTAAAAGATAGAAATGGATCGGTGGATATTAGGACAATCTATACCCAGTATATACAATACAATTGGAACTAAAATATCTTAATTCCAAATATTTGAGTAGAATTGAATTGTCTTTCCCTTTCCAGCCTCAGCCCCAGCCCCATGAAATGCATTTAATGACGCCTACATCATGTCAATGTCCAATCCCATTTAATAAATGTGATGTTTGTTGGATTTAAATAATTTTAATAACCAAAAATATTTTCATTAAATAGTCGATACGTTTCTTTTATAAAAATTATAATTTCAAATAGAATTGTGTGTTCACAAATATCTCTAAAACATTATATTACGATGAGTATTTATGTTAATTAATAAAACAGATGTATTTTATCTCAAAAAATTTAATAATTTCAATAAAATAAAACTATACAGCTAATCTAATATCCCTTCCTTATCGCTTCAGATGGATCATTTAAGCCAAACCGGAAAACAATGTTGTTGAACAGGCAAAATATTTTTTGAGAAGAAGGCCATTACCAGAAGGACTCACCCCTTCCCAACTGGCACCTGCCAAAAGGAAGAACAATTAACTATGGAACTAATTATGAAGAAAAATTATCATGCATGTCAATAAAAGAAAAGAAATAAAAAACTTTCTTATTTAGAAAGATGATAAGCCTTCATATACTATCACCGCTGATTCACTCCTCCAGGGAAAAAATGATTGTTACCATTATGAGCATATGAAAATATTGGAAGAAAAAAATAAATTCTAAAACCTAAGGGACTACCAACCACATTTAGGTTGTGTCGACTGCATCCGAGAAGTATACAGATGTCGTTAATTGCCCGGTCAACAACAGACTGAGCTGCATTACAAAATAAACAGAGAAGGTGGAAAACCAAGAAAATAAAACAAGCTTGGAAATATTTTAAAGTTTCATATAATATTAGATATATCAACATAAATATATTTGTAAATAAAAAATATATGATGTTGTTGAACAATAGAAACAGCATGTAAAATGTAAGACTAAATAAGTTTTTCATGTGTATATATATAGCTGCCACGCTAGCAAAAATCAATATAAATTGTTGTCATGTAACCATGCTAGTAGCCACATGGCATATACTTAAACAACATTAACGAAAAGTTAATTACTGAAGGTTATTTAAATAATTTTCATAGAATTATAGATTGTATTCTAACACAAAATGAATACGTTAGCCATTTGAGAGAAGTCAATAATATTGAGCCATTTTAGTAGTAAAGCTAAAAAATTTATCACAACATCACATCAACGATCACATTTATAATAAAAAATGGCAGATATGGTTGATTAATAATTTTTAAAAGCACGTAATATATTTGAGACAAAAATAGTACAAGAATAAATTTGAATAACAAAAGTATCATCTTAAATATTTATATCTAATATATAGGATTTAAAATTTTATACATATAAATACATGTATATCAACATATACATCTCAATATATATGTGGATGAAGGTAGTTATATACAATAATATATACAAGCATATATAAAATCACCTACATGTATGAATATTCATGAGTATAGAAAATGAAGCCTATTAAACATATTCCAGTTTATAATCTTAAACGGTGTAGGTTGGCTTATTTGACAGTAAAATTAATCCAGAATTACCTGAAAATACAGATGGATGCATGTAATATATATCTCTTTTTGACCCATGTCTATTTTCTTGCAGAAGTTGCTGGACAATCAACAGCACTCTCAGCAACACATCTGAAAAGGAATTGCAGTAAAGATACCATACGACAACTGATGTTGATAACAATGAACTCGTAACAAAGATTAGGTATTAATACTTTCCCATCGACTCAAACCATTGCTACATGTATGGAAACAAAATAGTTTAATTCCTTTATACTATAAGTTCGTTCATAAACTAGTGACAGATTACAAGAAACAAAAAGAACACATCACTAAAGGAACTAAGATCCTCACCAATTCTATATACATGGGATTTTCTTTGAAGAGTTAAAATTTCCTGCCCTTTTGGCTTATCAGATATGCAACTGCTGCAGAGAGCAAAATAATCGAAAGAAGATACATAACAGTCAGTAAACTATCTTACCTACACCTTCTTGATTTATTTCCAAACAGATCTCAAAACAGCTCGGGTACTACTTAATTTTCACACACAAAATTTCAAACAAATCAATATACTATATTTCCTTTTTTCTTCTTTGCCACAATAAATTTGCTGTTTCTCTAGAATCCTGAAAACCTTACCTGCGTTAAGAATTTAAAAATTTAAAAATCCATCCATAATTTCAGTTTCCTTCCTAATCTTAGTTTCAACACACAAACCATTAATAAAATCTCAAATGATCACATTACTCTCAGTTGCTTAAACTTACAATCATCTAAAACCTTATTTCGTTTCTGCATTTCAATATTTCCATTTGAAAAAAACTAAAAGAAGAAAAAGATTCAGAAATCCTAAATGAAACGAACCAGTTAAAATCGGGGCTTGTGCAATAGTTTCTGAACCGATCAATAGTAATCAACGGAAACCGTCCCTCACCTAGATCTTCAACCACCGATCGAGTAAAATCTGCAAACTAAACAATAATAAGTTGAAAATAAACCACGAGAAAAAATATAAGAAAATTTAATTCAGAACTTGATAATTGTCGATTTGTTCTTGCCACCTCTGATTCTTCGAAGCAAATCATCGCGTCCAGTGCTCGAGCGAGTTCCCTCCATAATTTTTCCACCAAACATAATTCAAAATTTGGTACTGAACCGATATTTATAGTAGGATGATGGGCAGTGGGCCAGGATATCGCGTGGGGTCAGCATCTAAAACCCAGCTGTTCTGGGCCTGAACTAAGGGCCTTGTGCACCCCTGACTCTGGGCCTTGAGGTACAATATATAAATTTTAATTGTTAACATATTAAAAATTAATAATATATAAATGTTCTGATGCAAAAATATTATTTTTAAAAAAAAAATGGAATTTCATTCAATCATATTAAGCAAACAATACAACAATGTTTAGAGAAAAATTCTCCCAAACGTAAAAGTCCGAAAAATCCCACGAGGATCTTGCAGTACAACGAGCCGCTTCATTAGAACTTCTCCTAACCCAGCCCACCGAAACATCAGACCAACGAGTTAAAAATGTTTTACAGTTCTCGACAATAGGCCCGAATTCAGAACTATCCTCGTCTTTATATAATAATTTACATATTTTAAATACCTTGATCTTTAGATACATTCTTGCAATAATTTTAGTTACTTTCTACGTTAATATATCATTAGACTTAGAATGAAATACGAGTAAAATAATTATATATCACTAATTTTTTTACATAATTAAACATATAATATAACTATCTGGATTTTCATGGGAAATTTCCTACCTTGTAGTTAGGAGGAGCAAGACTACATTGTCATGCCATATATATTCCAATTAACCCAATGAAAATAGTAAAAAAAATTTGTTATATGTAAATAAAATAAAATAAAAATACAATAATTTCTAAATATTATTTAAAAATATTTCTAAATATAGTTTAAAAACTTAATAACATAAATTATTAATAATTACTACTAACATTTTTTTATCTAAATATAAAAAATCAGTTCAAACTAATCTCCTATTTTTATATATAAAAATGTAATTAATAAAATTAATTAACACAAATTATAAATCACCAACAGTAAATATTTTTAATTAACGATAAAATTGGAGCCGAATGCGGAAGCTTCCCACCCACGTGCTCCTAAAAAGGAAATGAACAATCCTCCATCACGCTCGAAGAGCTTAAAAAAACCACAAAACGACGAGAGTGCAAAAACAAAACGACAGCCACTTGAATCTTCCAGGAATTTTCCAAAGAGTTTGCTAGCCAAGCTCTTTCAACTTAAAAACACATGACACTAAATTACTAGGCGCACAACTTGCTTCCTCTGGTAACTCTTCACTTTCCTCCTCAAACTCTCACCTCTTTTTCTCATCTATACAATTTGAGTAGAAGTTGTATAATCACTACCGATTAGTATGCATAGTCACTGTACACATACATACGTGCATATATATATATATATAGAGTTAATTAGCAGATCAAAAACTTACAAGTAAGTAGGCATTTATTTTTCATATGCATGCAATATCTTTTTAGGGATGGAAGGAAGTGCAAAAGTTTAGGTAATTATAATACAAATCCTGGGTGAGAATTTCTTATGCGTCAAAGGTTTTAGTTTAAATCTATTTAAAATCATCTAATTGATATTATGCTCTGATATGTGTATATTTTTGTTTATATGCAGATATTGTTGTCAGTAACTAAAATTATTATAGCCATGGCCTTCAACGATGCAAAGATGGTCATGTTGCCGGATTTCGATGCTCTTGCAACTCAAAAAGAACATGAAAGTGAGTCGAAGAAGAAGACAACCTTTAGCTGCAGCGATAAAACTATAACTTCTTCAGATATAATTCCTGCAGAAATCGAACGTATTGATCCCCCAAGTTTCAAATTGCCAGCCATTTGCTTGGGGATTTACATGGTCGTTGGCACTATAATTTACTACACTGTCAGAAACCAAATGAGAGGGAAGAAAACAAATGATCTTATTGATGCAATATATCTAACTGTTGTGACACTTTCCACAGTTGGGTATGGGGACATTGTTCCTCATACTGATGCAACTAAATTGCTCTCAGCAATTTTAGCATTTTCTGGAATGGCCATCATTGGGTTAATTCTATGCACAGGAGGACATTACTTAGTTGTCAAGCAACAAGTAATGTTATTCAGAACCCTAAATTTGTGTCAAAAGGTCAATCCAACTGATGCTATGAAGGAAATTGAAGCAGAAAACAAACTTAAATTCCATAAGTGTGTTATAGGCTCAGGAATCATGATGGTGCTAATGATTGTCGGCACTTTTGTGCTGGGAAGCCTGGAAAAAATGGATTCTGATGATGCTATTTATTGTGTCATCACTACTGTCACAACTCTTGGATTTGGAGATGAAAGTTTTTCAACCGGCTCTGGGCGTTTCTTTGCTATTTTATGGATACCAACAACCAGTACCGGTTTGGCTCAACTTTTTCTTTGTCTTGCTGAGCTACTTGTTGGCAAAAAACAAGAAAAGATGATCGAGAAGATCATTGCTAAAAAGTGCACACCTGTCGATTTAGAAGCAATGACTCATGTTCATGATGATTATGACAAGGTTGTCGGGTAAGTATATTAGTGTTTGTGTTTTAATTCGGGTAAATATTTCTCATGGAAAAGGCAGAATTCGAAAAGTTCATAAATATCCATAATTAATTTTATAATTGTGCATTTATTGAATGATATTTAACTTTACTAAATTTTTGATTTCTTTGCATAGGATGACTGATTTCATTGTATATAAACTTAAAGAAACGGGGAAGATTAACGAAGACGACATTTCAGCTGCAATGAAAGGGTACGAGGATCATGTTTATAAACAAGAGAAAAAAATTCAAGACTAAAATAATGATTTCTTGAATCGAGAAGCGATCGGATCAAATAGAGTCACGAAAATCTCAAAAGTAAATAATTAATTGTATTGATCTCATTGAACTATTTGGAATAATAATAAGTTAAAATATGTACTTCTATGTTATTTTAAGTTCTCAAGTTTAAGTGCTTTATGTAATAACCTATGCATTAGCTTTTTCTTAGTCAATGCACCTTATGGAAGAAATCTCTTTCATATAAAGAGTTGTAAACATACATTGTAAAAGTTTTATTTTAAGAATGTCTTTAGTTCAAGAGTTTTTTACTTGGCGTGATCTTGAGTTTTTATAGTATTTGAAGTTGAGATATCTTTTTGATCACTTTTTAGTTCTCCATTATAACTTTGGCTAAAGTATCTCGGGAGTTTATGTATAATTTAAATTTTTACAAATAAGTCATTTTAAAAAATTACCTATACATATCTAATAAAGTATTTTGAAATATTTTTTAATAAACCCTGTCATTAAAAACAACAATACAAAAACTGTTAAAGTTATTAACGTATCAATATTATTACGTTTTATGTTATTATAAAATGTCTGAAAATATAGCATCCACATAGATTCAAATGCAATATGTATTTTTTATTGAAACTTTTAGTATACATTTTTATTTTATTTATAGACTAATATTTAAATTATTTAAAAAATAAAGCTCTCACCTTTAGGAACTAAAACCTTATTTCATCCTCAAGTTCTCTTACAATTACCTCTGCATACCTTGTCAACAGTGTACTCCTGAGTCTTTCAACTCTCTAGTGTTGGCACTACATACCTTATTGCCATCAGTTTTTTCTATTATGTCAGTTTCATCTCCCTCCCCTTTTTATGCCAACTTCTTATTCCAAAATAGCAAAGTGATTAACTTTTTTTCTCTCTCTATAATTTTTAAAATTCCTACTTCACAAACTTTCTTCTCACTTGCCTTTTTCTAATATCCAAGTCGCATTAATCAATCGATCATCTTCCTCTATAAGAAATATGGTACTGAATTAACTACTCAAATAGGTCATAATGATTCTCGAATTAGGCTTTGCATTGTGGTCACGGGTCCATCAAATTTTTAGTAATTCATTGAGGAATAACAACAATTCAGATAACATCAAGAAATTGGCAAGCCTCAAGCTCAATCATCATCAAGGAAAGAGTTTTCAGTCATCACCAACATTGAATTTAATGTCCAACGAGCGTATTTATTAGATAACCCACACTGGAAAAAAGATTAATCATTTAAACCAAGGTGGTTATTAGAAGAATTATTTTGGATGGTGGCTATTTGTATCATCACCTCACCTCAAATTCACCATATATTATTGTTTATTCTTTCTCTAAACAGTGCATAAGTGGAAGTAAAGATGATGTGATGCTAAAAAAAAAGATTACGTGCATAAAATATCAGTTTGGACTGACAGCAAAAAAGGGGGGGAAGGAGGGGGAGGATAAGAAGAAGAACACCGACAACGGTCGCTGGATAATGCACGAGTATTCCCAACGGGATGTGAGTATTCTCTCTTGCTTTCTTTCTTTACTTTCTGCAATCGGCTTCTTGCATGGAGAATATATATATATATACACACACTGTAATTCTTTCTTCGATCTTTTACATATATATATGTATCGTTTCTATAATTTCTTCAGTCCGAGTTTTCCCATGCCCCGAATCGTAGGCGTAATTTTTTTTTTTTATGTTATATACATGTGATACTCTTACTTTCTTGAAGTTCTTTGATCAGCTTCTTGCATCTTATGGATATAGTTATAGTAGTTCTTTCTTCTTTGTTTGTATATATATTTATATACATATACGTATGTTTCTTTTATATAATATTTCTTGCATTGCAATCAGCTTCTTGCCATTTGCCACTGAGATTCATGAATATTCAAGACTTTTGTGGGAAGATGCTGAGTTCTTGTTCCAGGTCCTCATTAGAACCATACAGTACTTGTCCGCCATCATCAGCTGCTGCACACATAAACTTCAAGATTTTATTTTCTTGCTCTATCCTTTGTATGCCATCTGTTTCTTGTATTCGTGAAAAATATATATATATATATATATATGTATATAGTTGTAAAATTAGAACTAATGTTTCTTTTGTATAATATATATATATATTATAATATATTATATTATATGAATCACTTCTATAATCCATCATCTGAAGGTTCAGATTCCATCTCCGTCAGTTTCCATGCATACGTTTGCAAGTCTTTTATTACCATTTCTTGAATCTGCATGAACCATCCAAATTTTATTTGTGAATAATGTTGGGAGAAAATTTAATTTTTCTGTTATATATACACTTTTAATGCTAATACGCCAATATTAATTTGATTACAGCAATATTAAATTTCTATATTCATTGCTTTATATTTTATATTAAAAATATTATTTAACAGTTTTATTTAAAATTATTATCAATTTTTTAATATATATATATAACTTTTTTTAATTTACGCAGTCAGACGATTACGTATTCTGCAAAATTAAAAACAAAAACCTAGATAAACTACGACAATCAATAAGAATTAAATTGGTATATCATCAACAAGATAACGACAACAACGTTCGAAAAAGAAAATTGAATGTTGATGCAGAAGACCATAATCAATATAAGATTCAGTGCATCAATTCATCGTTTGTGATACCTACTACTAATGATACAAGAACAGTTGAGGAGATGGCTATTACTGCACCTTTGGCAGTAGGGAACATCGATCCATTGGCCACTGCTGCACCCTTGGCGGTGGGAGACATCAATCCATTGGCTACTGCTACACCCTTGGCGCCAGAGTATAATGATGGAAAAATAGTTGAGGAGATGATCGTTGCTGCATCTTTCGTGGTGGGGAACATCAATTTATTGACCACTACTGCATTCTCGGCGACGGAGTATAATGATGGAAAAATAGCTGAGGAGATTATCGTTGTTGCACCCTTGGCGGTGGGGAACATCATTCCTTTAGCTACTGCTACACAATTGGCGGCAGAGTATAATGATGGAGAAATAGTTGAGGGGATGACCGTCGCTGCACCCTCGCAGGAGGAGGTTGAATGGAATGACAACCTCGTATTTGATATAGATAAATTGTGGGATGAGATTGAACAGAAAGACAATCTCGTAGTTGATAGAGAAGAATTGCAAGATGAGGTTAAATGGAGTGACAACTTCGCAGCTGATAGAGATGAATTGCGAGAGGAGGTTGAATGGACTGACAATCTCGTATCTGATAGAGATAAATTGCAGGAGGAGATTGAATGAAGCGACAACTTTGTAGAAGAATTATTAGGAAACTGTGATGAATAGTTATTATTAGTTAAAAATTAGACTACAGTCCTCTATATAAAAATTTCGATGTAAAAACTTTAGATTGAATTGTTGCAGTGTAAAAAAATTTGATTTTTTTAATATTATTGTTGTTATTTCTTTCTTTCTATTTCTTTTTACTAATTTAAAATTAATTAAATAATTTATTACATCAGACATACCGTACATAAAAGTAAATTTTAATACATTATTTATTTTTTTATCTTTCAAAAGTTTGTGTTTGTATATTTCTCAAACATAGTTATGGAAATATTTTCCTAATTTTATTTTAAATAGATTACAAGATAAATATATCTATATATTAATATTTTTTAATTAATAAATACAAAATACTTTTATTTCCAAAAACCAAATTAATTACCAGATAAATAATATATAATTTTAAAAGCTCAAATTAATCCCAAACAGGCCCGGCCCAATTGTTTTTGCTTTCTTCCCGTCGGCCCAGCCCGTGCAGGCCTGCTTAACGCCCTCCAGGAAACGGCATCGTTTTAGGGACATGCTTTACTTGTCTTCTTTTTCGCAGGCGGGAAGCGGCTGGAGGAGGAAGAAGAAAAAACGTTTTGAGGGAGAAGAAAACAGACCGAGAGGAGCTTTCCCGAACGGGTTTCCATGAGGAAAACAGAGGAGAAGAGAGGGAGGCCGAGAGGGGTTTTGGAGAGGGATACAAACGGTGTTGTTGGGTGAGGATTCTTCTACTATAGTTTCTGAAAAATCTCCATAGAAAAATCCTGAAGAAAAAAGGGTGAACGCCGAAGGTGAAAGATTTTTTTTTTTTGTATTGAATGAAGGAGAAATAGAGGAGCCTGAAACAGTGGAGACTCCATCTCTGTTCTATATATATATATATATATATATGTGTGTGTGTCTTTCTCATTTTACTATAGTTTCTGAAAAATCTCATTAGAAAAATCCAGAAGAAGAAAGGGTGAACGCCGAAGGTGAGAGATTTTTTTTTTTTGTATTGAATGAAGGAGAAATAGAGGAGCCTGAAACAGTGGAGACTCCATCTCTGTTCTATATATATATATTTCTTTCTCATTTTACTTCAATTTATAATGCTTTGAATGTTCTTCCTGGAATTGATTGTGGGTTCAGGATGATCATGCTTGCTTTGTTTTATGAAAGTATATTTATTATA